GCCGTTAGAGCAAAAGAATTATGGAACACAATGTTCCACATGATCAAAACCATAGTGACAACAACCCTTCGCGGATGCTAAGATCGACGCTCTGCCACTGTCTGCCGCCAAACAACACATATCGCCCACCCAAATTTTCACCGCTCCCTGGTAGATGAATCCCCTAAGATGCGGATCCACCCTACTACCCACACGCCTCTCACTGACGAACACAGCCCGTATTCTATCCTTGATGCCGAGCAACCATCCATTATTGCCTCCCGTCCTCAACATCTCCTTCGCGAGAAAGAAGAAGCCCTGATGGTACAAAACCAATCCAACCTTACGAGGGAGGTACATCAAAAAAAAAAAAAAAAAAAAAAAAAAAACTTAACCCACTCAAGAGAAAGAGAAAACCTAACCATCAAAAGAGAAAGAAAACCTAACTTCTTTCCCTTCCCATGATTATTATATAGTTCATTTTTGAAGTTTTATGATTCGAAGTAATTAAGTTAAGGGTTTTATAAATAAAAACACAAATTGGATATTTCATGTCTTAAAAAAAACTCAGCATATCTAAATAATAATTTAACACGTATTTGTTTAACACTATCCAAAAAACAGAGAACCTTTTTATATTTAGTTAAAAGACGAGAAACAGAATGATAATACCCATTCACGCCTTTAGCAAATAAAAATAATAATAATGATGATAATAATAACAGAATAATAATAAGAGCTTATTTAGTAAACTAGTTCAAGTGGTTTAAATCAAAAAATTTGTTTTAAACCAATGTTTGACAACTTTTTAAGTTTTGATTCAAACTACTAAATTTGATGTTTTGAACCAAAAAATCCATACAAGTGATAGTTTGATTCGCATGTTCCAACTGTGTGGTTTACAAAACTTTTTAAGTTTGAAAAGTGTGGTTTAAACTTGACCTAATCACTCTCTTCTAATAAATAAAAAGCCGAAGAAATGAAAAAGATCCAAAGTGATCTTCCACTCTGGTCAATACAGTTTGCTCTAGTGCTTGTGTAGAGAACCATTTTTCCTGCAATAATTAAAGCATCACCCTAAACAAAGGATCTCAAAATGTAGCCTCACTTCTAACTTCCAGCTTCCAAGTCTAAAGGTCCTTTAGGAGAACTTTTGCTTTTACTAGAAGAGAAGTAAAAACTGCAGTAAATGTTTAGAACCCCATCTTTTAAAAGAACTTACCGGATTGATATAATTTCTAAATTTCATAATATGTAATAAAAGTGTTGGATTGGAGTTAATGATGCCTTAATAAAAATCGGATACAAGTTTTGAAGTTTACTCATAAATGTTTTTTTCATAAGCCTCATTTTGTAACTTTGACTACAAGCTCATTTAAAATTTGGCACTCATCCAAACACTTCTAGAAGCAGTTTTTAGACCCAGAAAATGAAACAAAAGCAGCTTTCAGGATTTATTAGGAAGCTCTTCCCAAGGCCCTAAACGTACCACTATCTAACTTCGGCTAACGTTCATGTGTAATTAATTTATGCTAATGACTATGCAAACCCGCCAAAAACTTGAAGTTCTACCTCAAAGTCTACACCACTAAAAGGATTCATGCAAAACAAAGAGTGCGTTTAGAATTAATTTTAAAATAATTTTATTTTCAATATAAAATAAAAATAAAATTATTTTGAGAATCATTCTAAAAGCGATTTTGTAATTGCATTTGGTTGATTTTGTAAAATATTGTTTTAAGTATAATAAAAAAATAAAATCGTATTTATTAGTTAATATATTATAATATTGCTGATAAGTACTAAAAAATGAAAACAGAAAAGTGAAAACAACTTTCAACTGTTTTTTAATTTCTTCACAAAAACCATTCTCATTGTTTTCGTTTTCGTTTTCAAAATATTTACTAAATAAACATCGTTTCGTTTTTATTTTCATTTTTTGCTTCTCGAAATACGTGAAAATTGTTTTAAAAAACGGTTCCAAACACACACAAAGCTTCAAGCATGACCCCCATCACTCGCAACTCTCAAGTATAACAGCAACAATGATCCCGGTAATAAGAAACATTTCTCAGGTCAGCTTGAAAAACACAAATTCAATATGGAGTCCTGCGTATTTACTATATGAAAGTCCCAGGTAAGAGCGATGACAGACACCAAGCAAACACTTAATAACTCCAACAATGTAATTTAGGCAACATCCATTATACGATGTTAAAATGTGACAACAATGTCCTAATCAAATGAGAAGTAAAAAGTCATCTGAAGTCTTGCTCCTCGTGAATTCCCCAACAAAGACAGTACAAGTAACAGAACAACATGCGATCGCAAATTCAATCTTTCAAGGATTCTATAAAGCGAATTATAATACATATTCTTCCTGTACTTGGTTTGAAAACAAAATCCTTTACCAGAGACAGAAGTTACTCTATTTTTTTGCTATATGTTCAACTTCAAAGCCTAACTATTTATTAATAAAGTAACCACTAGAACTAAGACCAGACAGGATGCTGATATTGAGTATTCAAATCTTGATTTTCACCAGGCGGATGTCTCCTGGGCTCAATGTCAGTTTGGGTGCTCACTTGACTGGTGTTCAGATGAGCCAAAGTCAATAAATAGTGCAGGAATCATAAATATTGGAAGTCAATAAAAGCCATCTTTCTGTATAAACAAAAAGTATGTAAATCCAACTTCGGAAGGAAAAAAAGGGGGTCACAAAAAGTATATACGTACATACAACTTAAACACATATGACACTTCCAAGAAAGTAGGCAATATTGTGGTGGACATACAAATACTTATAAACGCAGAAGTACCTGCTTGCAAAGGATAAACATTGTCATTTTTTTGGTATATAACATGCATGGGATAAATACTCGTAAACGCAAAAGTACCTGCCTGCATGTGTTTAAATAAATGCATGCCAATAAGACACAGTACCTTCCTACGTCTTGATTCAACTTACATTTATCCCGTGCATGGTATATACCAAAAAAAAAAGGGCAAACCAAAATGAAGAAATTAATAAATATTGCACGCGGGAGCGTGAATGCACACACATTAAAAAAGGGAAATGTTTTAAGTGTCCCCACTCCCCAATAGAAACTTATCTGAAGACTATCTAATAACTATTGAACAAGTTTCGAAAATTTGTGAACGAGAGCAGAGGACATGCCTAGTACTCAATGCAGATGTCCAGACACAATTAGTCCCCGCTTCACCAACAGTGTTATTTCTACCTATTAGACGCCTGTTTATAACAGGATGCAAGGTAACTCTATTTTAAAAGATTGTACGCATGGCACAGGGTATATGGATTGGGTTAGATTTCTGTTCGATTTAAAAGAGCAAACATAGCGAGGCTGTAACCCTCCAGAACCCGAAGAAAATTTCCAACCCAAAGGTTCTTAGAGTGTGTTCTTTCCACAACTCAAGTCACAACTCAAAACTTTTTTTTGGAGAGAGAAAACACTAGAGCAAAAAAGTTAAATTTGAAATTTGTAAAGAAAAACACTGCAGCAAAAGAAGTTGAGTTCACTCGAGCAAGGAAGATTTGCAGTGCACATACAAGTAAATGAAGGATTGTTACTGACAAGAAGATTTTTAGAAGGATTATGCTTCAGCTCCTTCTAAACTCAGTCAAGATGTCACATAACATATTGCAAGAACCCCCATATTACCATTTTTAATTAGATCCTCCAAAGAAATAACTATATTGCCAGAATCATACACATGAAACCTGCTCACTCTTTTTTCTTATATCTTACTTTGAGTTGGCATAAAGAGAGAATCCTAAAAGGAGAAAATATAATTCTGTGGGGAATCCTTCAGACGACATCCATGAGTATTCTACTGTTTGCTTCTTGTTGTCATTTCTCAAAAGCTGACACTTTGGGTTTTGAAAGTGAAAACAGTTCACAACAAATCTTTGTCTGGCCAGTACTTTCAGATATTCACGTATTCCAAATAAGGAAACATAAAATTACATATAGATGCATAAATCACAATGCAAAGTGGGAAAAAAGCATTTAAGACAGCGCGTTCATGAGTTAAAACAAGACAAGAGGATAAGGATAGGTGACGAACAATTAAAGGTATAAAGGAACTAAATTCTAGTATGCTTTGCTGGGAATCAATGCAAAGTACAAAATAAGCAATTAAATAAAGTCCTAACCTCAGAGTGACTAATAAGCTGCTCAAGTTAACATTTAAACACGAATATAGTAAAATTAAGGGGATGCTAATAATATCCTCAAAACAACATGTAGGCCAATCTCTTCCACTGGCATACAAGGAAAGCCGGAACTCAGGATTGAAACACGTGGGAACATCCAACGTGGACAAGTGTCCATCCCTAGCAAATTGACATTTTGAAAGCAAAAATCCTGGTTTCCATTTAAGCATTTGAAATTTAGATTACACATGCATAATGCGCACTCTACATGAAAACTTCTAAAATGAGCTATAAGTCCATGCAATGCACATAAAAACATTACTCTAGGTGGACTACGTACCGGTATCATATAATTTTAATCAAAATAATGCACTCGATGAAGCGAATAGATCAAAATGCCACATAAATAACATATTAAATTGAATCGTTGAAAAATGACTTAAAATCGTGAAGCGTACAATGTGGACAACAAACAAAACAATTCTGTATCATCAATTCCATGTAACCTCCACGAGAATGAGCCAATAAAGGACAATTTTTGCTCACTTCACATATCAACTTACATGAGAAACCAGTTCAAAAAAATGCTTGCTTGAGATAAATAATGAAATTAACATGGAATCACTATCCAACAATCAAAGAAATTTATTCATATAGAAGATATAAAAACCTGCCCCAGGTTGTCAAACCCAGAATTCAATGAAACTTGATTAGTCTCAATAATCTTATAAGCATCTATTTAGCAATGGAGTCATGTCAACAACTGTTACCAACAATTAATTAAGTGAAAGAATATATTGCTTCAGTCAACCTATGAAAATGGAAAACAATTAAGAACTGAAAATATCATTGGCAAAATCGCAAAATCCATTCAGTAAAAGTGCCAGCGGCAAAAACTAGGACAATTTCTAAGCAAGGAAAGACTTTTAAGCCTCGAAATACAACTTGACTTTCCTTAAAACTTGAAAGTATTTGAGAAGTACCTATCTCAATAGCAACAGGCGGATAGAATTTACATCATCACCAGAGCCCCATCTAATGCTGTCAAGAGGTTAAACTACTCAAGAACGGGCCTAACTCATTTCAGCACTGTATCAACAGCTATCTAAAAACCAAATGCGCAACTCGCACCGACCCACAAATTGGTGAAAAGGCCAACCTGCTTAAGCAACTTCCGATGACCCAAAATCACCAATAACAGAACGGACAAATCAAACGCAATCAACTATATTTTCATGGGTTCTCCCTAAGTCCTGTTTCATACTTGAATGGGATTCTCCTCCTCTCTGCTTAGAGGTGACACTGGAAGAACTCCGTCATCCCCATCGCTGCAATAAGCGTTGCTTACAAGCTTTCTCATTTCCTTGTCACAGCCACGGCTATCCGCGCCATCTTTCTCCTCCAAACCCTTCTCGACCTCTCTCTCCTTCTTTTCCATTATATCACAGAAGAAATCCGTCAACACAGTCTCATAACCCGGCATTTTCGCATACCCCGGGAAGTAATTTATGTCAATTATAAGGTACCGGTTCCCGAACCTCGCGTCTCGGATTACGTCGAAGTTAAACAGGTTCAACTTCATCGCCCGCCGCAGCCCCCTCGCGATGTCGGTGAGGAAGCTCTGCGGCGGCATCTCGGTCTCATCCAAATGCATCTTCTTGTAGTACTTATCGTCGGTCCTCTCGTTGGTGGCGAGGTTCGACACCTGCGAGAAAGACAGCAACCCCTCCAGGCTCCCAAGCTTCTCCTCCTCCGACACATCAGGCAGCGACTTTCGCTTAACGCACTTGACGTACTCCCCGACTACGTAGACCTTGAAGATCACGCCGCCATGGTTAACAAACTCTTGGAGCACAATCGGCGGCTTCAAGTTGCTGAGGCCGTCGTGGTTGAAGATGAGCGCCATCTTGTGCGACTTTGCGCTCCCGTCGGCGACGAGCGGCTTCGCTATTACCGGAAACTTCAACCCCTCCCACGCCGGCCGATCAAAGAGGGTCTCCTTGTCGTAAATCACAATCTGTTTCGGAATCCCGAACGTCTCGCTCCGGTCCTCGATCTTCAGCTCGGAAACCACCTGGAGCATCGAAATCCGGTTGTGGAGCCGCTCGATCGCCTCCGGGTAGTCGATTATCACCGCATTAGGGTTCTTAGCCCTAAAATCCTCCAATTGGCGGCGCCAATCGTCTCCGTAGAGCTTGTGGAGGACGCAATCGAACGGCCCCTGATCCGCCAGCGGAATCTCCCTCTCGATTCGGACGAGATCGATTCCGCGGGACCGCGCCAGACTCACCAGCGAGTCCTGAATGAAGCTCTGCTGCTTCTTCGGAGCCAGCGCGTAGCCCACGCCGAATCTCCGCTCCGCCATTGATGACGATGATGTGAATATGCCGCCCCGAAAACCAAGCCCTCTCCTCTCGAATCCGACAAGAATCCACCAAAACGCTCATATGGCAACGAACCACAAACCGATTCGAACATTCACGCTCGCAAGAATCTCACGAATCAAGTACGAAAAATTCAAAATCCCATTGCCCTAATTCACTGGTTTTTCTTGAGCTTCGTAGAAATCGATATTCTCAGAGGGAGAGGGAAGAAATGAAGAGAGAGAAAGACGGATAGGAGAGGTGAGAGAGAGAGAGATAGGCGATGTGTATATATAGCTTCGACTAGGGTTAAGAGAGTTTTTGCGGGGGTTGGTGATGATAAAGTAACCGTGCTTAGTACAGAAGTTGCAGTCGGTAGGACACGTGGCAATTCCTTGAGCAAAGATGAAGATTCGCAGAGCGCAAAGAAGAGGCGCGTGTGAAATTGGGGATGTCGGCTTGGCTAACCGTAACCGGACGGTTTGCAAAATCGGGCCTAAATTGACGTGTAGATTATAGAGAGTCAACGATTATTTATTTTCTTTGTTTTCTTTTTTATTATTTCTCTATCTTAAATGGTTTTTTTTTTTTTTTTTTTTCTCTCTCTCTCTCTCTTTTCAATTATTGTTTCTCATGTTAAGTATTAAAAAGAGCACGTTTTTGGAATTGACTTTGGGTGACCTTTTTGACTGTGGTCTTACACTTCGGGGGAGCTTGGGAGTAAACTTTATGGGGAGAATTTAGAAAACTTGTTTGGGTGTTGAAAAATGGAATTTTCTTTTGGGGACCTTTGGGAGGTTTTGTTACTCTCTTGAATTGACATAGATCTAAGATTGGTTTTTATTGCTCTACTTGCTTGCATTTCGGTGTGAATGTTTTTAATTTCACTCATAGCTATTTCTTGTGTGACATGTCACTTATCTCCTAATTCACTTATTCAATGACGAGTTTATTAAGTTAGAGTTTTCTATATTAAAAAAAATTAGTGTCAAATCATATTAAAATTAGTCATTATATAATTAAATAATGTGTTATAATAACTTACCATCATTATTTTTTTAAGTCACAATTTTTTTAGTTTGATTATTTGTTAGTATACCTATTGTGCTTCTTATTTATTTTAAACCAAAAAAAAAACAAAATAGAAAAAACTCGAGTCAAATCATTCGTAAATCTAATTGAGGAAAAAAAAAGAAAAGGTAAGAGGCAAAAATTCACACTTGAATTTACTCATAAGTCTTTAATTTCTAATTTAAAAAAAAAATGTTGCAATATGAATGATCCATAAACTGCCATAAACTTTTTCTTTTTTTAAAAAATGCAAAAATGTACATAAAAGACGTGGATATTGAAAAATTGTGTTACATATTAATTGTCATACTCATGCCCTCTCTGTATGAATTTGGGTTTATAATTTTACATCACGGATTAAGGCAAAAATGGCCGGTTTTCTATCCTATTAGATTCGACCCTTTTTATTGAAAAGGAACTTCAACCAATTAAAGTTCAAAGGTATATTTTTACTACCCTAAAAATAGAAAGCAGCTATTAAGGAAATTACAATGTTATCTCCGGATGGTACTTCTTCAGGAAAGATTTTTACGTGATCTTTTAGAACTCAACTTCCTCATCTAGCTTCTTACCTTTTTGGACATTACAAAAGAACAACACTATTTTCAATGAGTTGATGTGTTGATATTATTGTCCCATAATATCAAAAAATAAACCGTCCAAAATTTCCCCATTTTTTACCAAAAAAAAGGTCCTACTTTGTTAACGACCTCGCTAAGCTAGTTATATATATCCACAAATTGCATAAATCAAGTTTGCTTTCTATGTTTCTCTCTTCTCAAATAATTTCGTTTTAGTTTACACTTATTTGTCATTCATAATTTATTGTAATATTATAGTTGTATAATCACTATTAAATATAGTAATTATAAGAGCATAATCAGAAGAACGTAGGCTTAGGGATGATAAAATTGAGCTATATATATATATATATTTAGGACTATTACATCATAACTTTTTGTATAAAAAAGTGATATATATATATGAGTGTAGTTTTAATAGTTATTTCAATATTTACTCATAAATGAATATAATTTTTATTTCCAATATATATATATATATAAAGGCACAATTAAGACCATGTATACATTGACAATTTGATTTTGGCAAATCCATTGTCATGTGTCAATTTAACTTATGTTAAACAATAATCCAAGCTGAAAATGACATTTTTGCTAATAGTCTTAGATGACAAATCTATTTCAGCACTTGTACCCAACCTTTAAAATCTTTATTATTCTACATATATCACGTTCACGTTACATATAATTTGCTTATAATTTGTTGTGGACCAATGACCACAAATTCAAACATGATCATGCAAGAATAATTGATAAGGATATTCTGATCCCTTTCTCTTTTTTCATGCACCATATATGCTCCACTCTTAGTTTGACGCTCTATATCCCAACATTTGGTCGGGGATATATCCTCGATCCAAACAGGATCATATCAAAGAAAAAAGAATCATAATAATCTAATATTATATAAACCCACTTGTATATATGAGCATCCATCTAAGAATCTTTTATACACTTCAAATGATTCTATATACCCTCATTTAGAATCTCTATCCATTTGATCTTCATTGATACTGCCCAAAAAAAAAACTGTTTTTTTTTTTTTTTTCCTTAGTCATGTATATATTCTCTTTTGCTTCCGTTTTCCTTGATATAAATTCAATGGAGATTAAGATATATATATATATATATATATGCCTACATTATTAAATTATAACTACGTATCGGTCAATGTAATATGTATACGTACATAATACCTTAAATTTAGATTAATGAGTAATACATTCAGTTTGTTTAATCATATTATAGTCCTATATTATATAATAATATATTAATATAATATTTGGTATGACTATTCTATTGTATAAATTAATATGAATGATAAATTAATACGGTTTATGTTGTATTATTGAGTACGGCTCATTTTTAACGTATTTGTATTATTTTATAGTGAATTTATGATTCATATCGGGGTTGGGTACGACTGAAGGTTGGGGTTAGGCTGCCATGGAGTCATGTAAGAGTCTATAATTGTTAAAAATTAAGGGGGCATAATACAAATTTATATTTTTTTATAAATTTTATTTTGACCCCTCAATTTTTGTAAAATTACATTTTACCCTAAAATTATATAAAATTACATTTTACCCTAAAATTATATAAAATTACACATTGACCCTAAAATTTTACAAAATTGTAATTTAACCCTAGAACTTTTGAACATTTCTATTTGGATCTCAAATTTTTTTAAAAATTACATTTTGACCCCAAAATTTTACATTTGACCTCATGTACAATATGTCATGACACCAAATACCGTATTGTATTATGATAATATAACACAATACAACACACCATACAATATACCTTATGCAATACAACACAATATAAGCTACCAAATATGACCTCATTGAATGGGTATGGCCCACTAGATTTTTGAATTTTGATTTTTTTACATATTTTTTAAAAACATTTCAGTTGTACTGTTTCATTTTACTCGATAATTGAAATTTATAACTTATATGCTGCTATTTACGGAAAATTTTGTAATGTTATCAATTTGGAAAAGTTGTTGTCATCTGTTCTGAAGGAAAAACAATTGTAACAATTGTAACGTGAGTAGTTGAGTGTTCTGTGAATTTTAATTAGTTCCAAAGTTTTGTTAATAGTGTTTAGTAAATTATAATGCTCAATTATTGTATGAAGCTAACATTAATAAAATAGACATGATAATTATTTTTCAAGAGGCACAAGGGCAACCTTGCCCTAGCATTATTTTTTTAGGGGCTCAAAGGCAACCGTCCCCGTGAGACATCATGACAATCTCTTGCTTGTCATGAGCCCGCATGATACAATGAAAATAGAAATTTTACTGAATAAGCACTCTTTGAGACAGTGCCAATCTCCTTCACAAGCAAAATGTTTCTGATCTTCGATAAATCCCAAATACAAAAATTTCCCTTATATATTTTCCCTACCCAGCAATCAGCCAAAGAAAAACAGAATTGAAGAAAGAAAAATAACAGAATAACAACTTGGATGTCCCTCGATCCTCGCAAGGCCTCAGTGACCTCCATTGAGCTCGAAACCGTTAAGCCACTTAGGTGCTCGTCGCACTCTGGTCTCACGCGCAGGGGCTGACTCTCCCTCTGGAATCTTCTCAACCTTCGTCTCTTTATTAATCAGCTCTTCCTCTAAACGCAGCCCTCCCCTTGTCGTTTCATCTTGCGGGCTTGAGTCTTGGGCCTGGCCTCCCTTCACCCAATGGTCTCCCTCTTTGGTCTCCTCTCGGGTTTCCGTCCCAGCCCATCTTGCTATGGACTCTTGAATCCGATTGGCATTGAGGGCCAATCCTGACCAACTATCACTCCCCGCAGCTTCAAAAATGACCTTGTCCTCAAGGTCCTGCATGTTGTAAAGTTGACAAAAAGCTGTGAATTCTTCCCACGTAGCGTCGTCTGGAGGGCTATGTGACCACTGGACCAGAATCTGTTTCATGGTTTCCCCTTGTTCGGAGTGGAGGCGGGAAGCTAGGATAGCCACCGGCGTCAGTAGCGGTCGGTTGGTGTGGCTGAATTCTAGCAGTGGATAACGAATGGATGGGTTGTCCCCTTTGAACGCCTTAAGGAGTGAGACATGAAATGTCGGGTGAATCCGACTCCCAGGTGGCAGTTGTAGAGTGTAAGCGACAGGCCCTGCGTGCCTAATGACCGGAAATGGCCCGAAATAGCGACGACATATCTTCGAGTTCAAGCGTTTGGCCACTGTACTCTGATGGTAAGGTTGTAACTTAACCAACACCAAGTCACCGATCTGAAACTGGACATCCCTTCTCTTTTTGTTGGCCAATTGACGCATCCTGTTTTGAGCCTGTTGTAAATTCGCCTTGAGGCGCTGGAGAAGCTCGTCTCGAGTAACCAAGGTGTCCTCAACCGCCTGCAGGGTAGAAGATCCCGTATGTACGCCGGAATTGTCAGCGGCAACCGCCCGTACACCGCCTGAAAAGGAGACATGCGGATGGCGGACTGATGGCTAGTATTGTAATGGTATTCAGCCCAGCATAAAAAACTAGACCACTGCTTGGGATGTTCGGCTGTGAAAGCGCGCAAATACTGCTCCAAGTAACGGTTGAGCACTTCGGTTTGTCCGTCGGTCTGCGGG